AAATCTTTATCTTAAAACAACTTTTCAGAAAAATAGATTTGTCTAGTAGATTTTATCTCTCTTTCCAGTACTACTATTATCATATAATATTATCATATAATAATATTATCATAATATAATAATATTATCATATAATATTATCATATAATAATATTATCATAATATAATAATATTATCATATTATATTATCATATAATAATATTATCATAATATAATAATATTATCATATAATATTATCATATAATAATATTATCATAATATAATAATATTATCATATAATATTATCATATAATAATATTATCATAATATAATAATATTATCATATAATATTATCATATAATAATTGTGCTTGTCCCTCTCTTCATTGGTTTGCAGGACCGTTACTTTTTATTTGTATTAGTGTAGAATTTGAAAATGTAGTAATTGTTATTTTTCTTTCACGAACTTAAAGCAGAAATATTTGAAGTATACAAATAGATATTCATTTGACTCATAAAAGCAATTAATTATATAGATATACTGTTACAGCTCTTAACTGTATGTATTCAGACATACTGACACACGCCAGATAACTAACCAGCTAAACGTATAAAAACGCAGTTTTTTTTAGCTAGCTAGCTGGATAGATAGCCAAATAATCAGTCATAAATAAATGAACATAGATAGATGTTGATGGTAATATTAGCCGTTTCCTTATAAGAAAACATTTGGTATTCTCTGACCTTGTAGCTAATACTACTGTCGCCCTACAACCTCCCCAGCCATCTAAGACGTCCAATACCTCCGGCTGATTGATGGGGGTGATCACTTCGATCCAGGTTCGACTTTATGCCACATTGTGATTTTTTTTTATCCTAAAGCGGCCAAGATCGAATCTTCATATGGTATCTTCGTATTGGGCTGGTCCAAGAAGGGCGAAGACGCTAAGTAAGAAAACAACACTCGAATAAATCAAAACAAATTAAATATTGTTTTTATTTATTTCTTACAGTAATTGGTTAAATCAACATTTCGCATGCAATCAATTATCAGCCCAATCCGCTTCTAACTCGAACGTGACAATTTTGTTGACTTGATAAAGTTCGTTTTGCTGATTTGATGAAGTTCGACACAAGGCTGAAGTCGGGGGTTCTGGTCGGCAGATAATCATGTGGGGTGTATCACGACCGGCGGTTGAAACGAAATTTCTGTTTTCTTGATTTGAGGCATTCGTATTTATTGACGTTCGCCCAAACCGGATGGGGACTGCCTAGTTGAACAATTTGGGGTTTCCCCCTTCCCACCATCTCCATTGTCCGGGTCCTGAGAATTAAATTACTTCATAATTTCGGGGAATTCCCTCCTTGCACGGGTAATGGTTACACCCATTACTCGGCCTCATAACTTCTACTTTCTCTTATCATCATCATTAGGGCGGTTTTGTAGTCGCTGAAGAGCGTTGTCCTGAAAAGGACAGTTTATTGCATGTCGTTGCTGTTGCCGACGATGGCTGAAGCCGCGGCCGATGACGAGCTGGAGCTGCTGCTGGTGGCTGGAGCCGTGGGCCGGCTGCTGCTGGAACAGATACTACACTTTGAGCCGCCTTATGTAATATTTTCGAGCTTTGAAGCCTTTTTATAACCTGAATTAGTTTTACAACAATCGCTCGTTAAGCTTTTTCTTCCAGTTGTTTTTAATAATATGTGGCAGTGCGGACATAATACAACACCATTATTGTGTATAGTACGCATATGTAAATAAACAAGACTCAAAACTCCGATGTGAAATTTGAAAGAAAGAAAAATATGTTATATTAACTTAAAAACAGCAGAACAGAATACAAATTTGACAAATAAGTTTGCACAAAATTTTCCTTTTGTACGCCTTATTAAAAACAAAACGAAGACTTGAGTAAAAAAATGTATTGCCATGTTTATTTTTGTGAGAGAAAATACATCGACAAGAATAAGAGTAGGCAAAAAATATCTCTGCATTTTCGTGTAGAGGATGAGAAGAGCGTTGTTCTGAAAAAGACGGCTTTGTAGTCGCTGAAAAGAGATGTCCTGAAAAGAACAGGTTATTGCATATCGTTGCTGCTGGCTGGAGATAGCTGGCAAGCTGGTACGGCAGCCGATGACGAGCTGGAATGATGCTGGCTGGAGCCGTTGGCCGGCTGTGGGCTTCTAGAACAGATACTACACGTTGATCTTAGTCATCTGGGCCGCGGAGTGATTGGTTATTTACCCCAGCTTCTCCACTGAGACGAGATGTGACATTAGGTCGGGTTTAATGTGAGGAACTGGAGCGCGTACACTCGGGACAAAAAATGCCCAGCCCCCGTAACTGTTGGTTGCATTTGCCTTGGTAACAACTACCGATATCTCATCTCTCAATGCAATGAGAAGGTTCAGCCTCGGACAGCTGTTTCTCGGGATCGGGCATCTCACAGTTTTATTTTGCCAAGCTGCATCCCTGTCCGCGGACAAAGCCACAACTGATTAGCACTCTGTTCGAAGACAGATACGTAAATGAGAGATGATAATCCTGCCCGTGGTGGGTTGCGCAGTGATTGGTTATTTATCCCAGCCTCGCCATTCAGACGAGACATTATACAAAGTTGGGTTTAATGTGGGGAACCCAAGACCGTACACTCGGGCCAAGCACAAAAATTGCTCAGCTCCCGTAACCGTCGGTTGCGCTGGCCTTGTTAACAACCACCGATCCCTCATTTCTCTAGTGCAATGAGAAGGTTCAGCCACGGACAGCTGTTCCTCAGAACTGGGCACCACACTGAGTCACATTCTGCTCGAAGACAGATACGCAACTGAGAGATACTAATATTACCCCACGGGGAAATGCGGATTGCTCGTAGTTTTCGATGTTTTGAGACGTTTTTCTACCCTGAATCATCGGTTAAGCTTTTTGTTTTCGGTTTTTTAAAAAAATTGTGGGAGTGCTGAGAGTGAGTCACATCTGGTCCTGCTCAAAATACACATCATCACATGGAATAATTCGATGCAAAAATTGTTTTTTTTCCAAGTTTTTAATCTTACAGTAAGATTACTCGACATTGCTTCATTGCAGTCATTTAAATTGGATTTATGAGTAACAATATATTGCCGTCTTGGGTATGACGATAAAATGCAATTGCGTCCTTGGTAAGATGATAAACTAGGTCCAACAGCAAGGCCTCTGACCAAGAGGTTTTGCGGAGCGTGGAACCACCTCTTAATTTCTGGTGTTCCCAGGGCCACCATGACCAGGGGTGGTAGCACATTTTAGGCTCCCAAATAGCTAATCCCTAAATTGGAGTTAAAGCGCTATGAAAGTGTCAAAATAGGTTTTATTACCAGCAATAAATTTTTTGAATGAAAAATTACCAGCAATACATTATTACCAGCAATACATTTTTTTAAGGAACAAAAAAATACCAGCAATACATTTTTTGAGGAAAAACTATTACCAGCAATAAAAATCTTGTCGGCATTAAATAATTCGTGGAGGTTGATATGCCGTAAAACAAACCAAACCGAACAATATATTGAAAGGAAAATTATTCGGAAAGAAAAAGATTCAAGAATAAGTGAAGTTTTTTTTTAATATTCTAACGAGGTTACTTCCTTAGACGACCGGATCAACAACCAACCAAAAATACGTCATTTCATGTGTGATGACCTAATATAAAGCATATCTGTTACGATCACATCTGGTTCTGCTCAAAATACCCAAATTCCGACACTTACAAACATGTAAATTAATACGCAACAATAAGAACAGCTGATTTCAAACGGGGATTTTCCAAAAGGAGGGAACATCAAGTTGAGGAGGAAAAATGTAACAAGAGAACCCCCCCCCCAAAAAAAATAGTTTAGCGTTTGCAAGAATAACGTTGAAATTAAAATTGTGGAAGTTTTCATTTGATTTGCTTAAATCACTTGTCTTAATCGCATATTTACAAGATCCCTCAACTCTCTTGTACAATGAGAAGGTTAAGCCTCGGACAGCTGTTTCTCGGGACCGGGTACCTCACAGTTTTCTATTTTTTGCAGACAGAGCCACAACTGAGTCCAATTCTGCTCGAAGACAGATACGTAACTGAGAGATGATAATATTACCCCGCGGCGAACTGCAGAGTGATCGTTATATTTAACGGCACCTCAACGTGGGTCGTATGTGGCACAAGGCCGAGTTTACCGTGTGTTCTACGAGCCTGTAAGCTCGGCCAAAAATATTCCCTTAGAACTCGTATAAACGGGTTCAGGGCCTGTCTCCCTCCCCGGACGAAACTTTACCCTTCGGCAAAGCCTCGTTTGGGTTTCTCTCTGCAGAGAGTTTGACAGTCGGACGCGCTATGGCACCGTTCCCATTGCGGAGTGGTCGTATGTTTTGATGTTTTGAGACCTTTTTATATCCTGAATCATTTTTACAACGATCTCCGGTTAAGCTTTTGTTTTCGTTTTTAAAAAAAAATGTGGGAGTGCTGACAAGATATGGGAGACTCTTTATCATTCCGTCTTGTCTCTACCCCATCATCCATTCACACAAAACTCATTAGGTAAGTTACACCAACTCTCCTCTCAATACGTCCTGTGAGTATTATATTTTCCAAGTTGTCCTTCTTCATAATGTGTCCTTTAAATTTCAACTATTGTTTTGATTTTAATCAAATTTTTCACAGTTCTCTATTTTCTATAGAGCTTCGTAATTGATCACTTGTTCCATTTATGGTTTTCCCTGCACCTGTCTATAGAACCACATTTTAGTCACTTTGAGTCTCGTCATCTGCAAGGAAATTACCCAGTGTTCCCTAACATACAGCAGGATAGATATGACATAGCAGTTCAGCACTCTTTTTATTTTTGATGGAACTTTTCTTTATCGTAACACATTGCTTAATTTCTGAAAGTCAGCTTTATCTATTTGGACGAACCTGCGGATCTCCGAGCTACATTTTCCGTTGCCTGTTATTACAAATATTCTTGTGTTATATTCGTTTTTTTTTCTTTTTTCTTTTTCAAAAGATAACAATGTGGATATCACTGACTCAGATCACAAAAGCAAACCAAAATCAGAACTTACTACGAAAGTGTCTAACACCGTTGACGCAACAAATAAAGCGGGTATGTTTTCGGATAAACGCGCCGAAATTATGCAAATTAGTGGGTCTGGCATGGACGTAGACGTAATAAGCCGAAATACCGAGGCCTTTACCAATTTACCTCGAGAAAATACTCACTTACTTACAGTTGTGACCAATTCATCTTATTCAAGCAGTTCCCTCGTCGTCAATACAGGTACGTATAAATTATTATTTTAAATTTGGTTTTTTGATTGTTTGGAGTTTGTTCCACTAAGTAACAGTTCTGGAGAAGAAGATATCTGAGCTGAACTTCCTCCTTACTAATGAAATACGAAGGGAATAGGAATAGTTTGCCTCCGTAAACAACATGGCGATTCCTATTTGTGAGGTCTGAGTTGGTGAGTCTAAGTAATATAACTTGTTCGAACATCTGCCATAGCAATAGCGATAGAGTAGTGATAGGTTGGCGATGTTTCATTTGTGGGATAAGGGCTGTAGAGCGGAGAATAATTAATCACTCACAAGGCCGTGTAATGGCTTTTAAACCCTATCGAGAATGATTAGTAAGGATTGGCCTGTACCAGTCCAGATATAACATCATTACTCCCCTCTTGGTTGGTTGGTTGGGTTTTATGGCATATCAGCCACTGTAGGTCATTTAATGCCAAATTTAGTTTATATATATATATATTAAATATATAGGACTTGTAAACGTCTGTAAGCTATATAAGCTAGAGCTTATTTGCTTACATACTGCAAAATAATTCCAGGTATTACTGTCTAGGACAAGGATTTCTATTTAGTATAGACGATTTGTTTGCACAATGTTAAAAGGTAGCATATATTAATTACACATCAGACCTTGATAAAAAAACCAATTCTTTTCAGGAGGTTTATTATATGACATGGATTAATTTTTGTAAATAGTTCCTTTGTGCTTTTAATGATGTAGAACTTTCTTCGAATGTGTGTAATGTTTGGGCATTCTATCAGTATATGTTTTACTGGGACATTTAGGAGGCTCCCCTTCTAGTATGAAGGAGTGAGTCAGTCTAGCGTAGCCGAGTAAGGGTAGTTTCTTCTTTTCTTGTATTATTAAGATTCAGTTTCCTTTCTTTTAATCCCCTCTTGGTTTGTCCTGAGTTTTATAAAGATAAAGCGTGGCAGCAGAAGTCTGGTATTTTCTGGAGGAATACAAAGAATTGACCAATTCCTTCAGCATCTTTTGCGATGGCACCAAATATATGCATTCTATTTGAGATCGGCAGTGAGCTTTAGACTAATTAGGAGTTGTTGTAAATTGAGCATACAAGAAAGGGGATATCACATAGCAATTCTGCATTGTTTTATATGTTTCTAACGAAATCTTTTTGTTCCTTAGTAATTTGTTTAGCTTTTGGAATATATCTGTAATCCAGATTTTGGTGCCCTCTTTTCCATCCTCTGTTAAAACACTTCCCAGATATTTAAACTTGTTTGTTTCATGTCGACATCTCCAATTCGTAGTCCGCAACTTGGGATTTTTCTCTCGCTAACAACTATACTTTCTGTTTTCTTGTAGTTGATGGCTCGTCCTTTTTTCTCGCTTTTCTTTGCTACCTTGTCTAGGAGTTCTCTCTTTTCTTTTTTTTTTAACTTTCGTCTGCACTGTTATATGTACGTGTCTTATATTCTTAAAATTACGCCCTTCAACAATAAAACTTCGTAGGGTCTTCAGCTTTCGTAAGATATCGTCACTGTAGAGGTTTAATAAATCTGGAGAGACCACACATCCTTGTCTCACGCCCCTTTCTATTTTGTGAACCTACTCAAATTATTTTCCATTTGCATGCAAGCGGCTTGCTCCCAGTATCCTTTCCAAATAGATGGAGTTATCTTAACAGTTCAACTAGCTCCTTGTGATGTATCTTGTCAAATGCTTTTGCGTGATTTATAAAGCATAAATATACACACTTCTGCTTTTGTATTGCTCCCTTCGGTATCATTCTAATCTTAAACGTTGTATTTCTTGTTCCGGTGTCATTGACAAAGCCATGCTGTTCTTTCCAGTTTAATTCCGCTTCGTGCACTATTCATAAGGATTCGCTTTATTAGGTTGGTTATGTGGCTCATTAGGCTGATTGACCGTTGGAGCTCACATTCATTTGCACTCAATTCCTTAGGTAATGTTACGAAGATAGATTTTCTGAGGCCATTAGGTATGTCACCATTGTCGTATGATTTCGTTTATCACTTCTATGATCTTGCCGACGCCGAAATAGTCTGTATCTATTAGGTTGTCACACGTATAATGAAGCACTTTATAGGAAATGAATAAAACGCTTCTGAAATGTTAAATACTTTATTTAGATGAAATAGGCACCATCTTAATGAATGACTGTTTTTCAACGCATCTCTAAATTCTTGACCCTATCATTAAAAGATTCACATCCTTTGATGTGATAAACAGTTCAAATGCTTTGATTACCTCTTCCTTATTTGAGAATGTATAACATATTAAAAACTCAAAATGTTTAAATAAGTAAGAGATATCAGGTGAATATAGAGGACTAGCAGTAGAGCCCGGCGTTGCCTGTGGATGTAACAGTAAGAGATAGATCAAGTATCAAACATCATAAAGACTGAAAAATAAAATTGACAAAGATTATTGTTTAAGGTTGACAGACACGCATGTCTTAATTAGTTTTTTTTTTTTACGAATTGTTCAAACCCAAACTCAAACAAAAACATTGTTTTCAATCGTTATGAGTCTACCGATTGAATAGAATTTTATTATAAATAATTGTCTTGTAAATGGAATTTTTAAAGCATTCTCAATGTAAAAATAAAGAAAAAAGTGTGCAAGACAATAAGAAACACTACCTGCCAAAAAAAGTGAAGTTTTGTTGAAATCGGTTGAAAATGTAGTAAATCCGATCCCATATATAAACGAACACACACACACACACACACACACACACACACACACACACACACACACACACACACACACAACTTGGGTTTTATAATAAGTATAACTCGATATGAGTTGTCCCCCTTTCATTCTGGCGACAGTGATGCCTCTTAATCGTATTTTCAAATTGATTTCGTGCAAAAACAATTGTGTTTTTCCAATTTTTGGCGCTGTCAGAACCACCGCAAGGTAATGTTACGTAGTCCTGCGAAGTTTTGTTGAAATCGGTTGAAAAATGTAGGAAATCCGATCACATATATAAACACACACACACACACACACACACACACACACACACACACACACACAGCCTGGGTTTTATAATAAGTATGATGAGGTAAAACTTCTTCATAATTCAGATTATGCAGATTTTGGACATTTGATTGAGAAGTGTGCGGCCGTACGTTGTCGTGCAGTAAAATTGGATCATCCCTATTCACAAGTCTAGGATGTTTCTTTTTCAATTTTTCGTGTATACACTCAATTCCTCCATAATACGAGGTTGCTGCTCTTGTTTTTCCTTGAGGCAAGAATGAATAAAGAATAACACCTTTGAAAGACCACCATACAGTAACCATTTACATTTTAGGGTTCAGTAGAGGTTTTGGCTATTGCCTTGATGATTCACTTGCATCTAACCACAGGCCTACACACTTAAACTTGTCAAAGAGTATTCATTTCTCATTGCATGAAATGATTCGATGCAAAAATGGTACCTTTTCTCAGTTTTTAATTTTACAGTAAGATTAATCGTCATTGTTTCATTGCAATCATTTTAACTGGACTTATGAGTAACAATATATTGCCGTCTTGGGTATGACGATAAAATACAACTGCGTCCTGGGTAAGACGATAAACTACATCCAGCAGTAAGGCCTCTGACCAAGAGTTTTTGAATAGCGTGAAATCACCTCTTAATTTCTGGTGTTCCCAGGTCCATCCTGACCAGGAGTGGTAGCACCTTTTAGGGTCCCAACTATGGGCAAATAGCTAACCCCTAAACTGGAGTTAAAGCGCTATGAAAGTGTCAAAATAGGTTTTAATACCAGCAATAAATTTTTTGAATGAAAAATTATTACCACCAATACTTTATTAATAGCAATACATTTTTTTAGAAAAAACATATTAACAGCAATACATTTTTTGATGAAATAAATATTACCAGCAATAAAAATCTTGTCGGCATTAAATAATTCGTGGAGGTTGATATGCCGTAAAACAAACCAAACCGAACAATATATTGAAAGGAAAATTATTTGGAAAGAAAAAAGATTCAAGAATAAGTGAAGATTTTTTTAATATTCTAACGAGGTTACTTCGTTAGACGACCGGATCAACAACCAACCAAAAATACGTCATTTCATGTGTGATGACCTAATATAAAGCATATCTGTTACGATCACATCTAGTTCTGCTCAAAAGACCCAAATTCCGACACTTACAAACATGTAAATTAATACGCAACAATAAGAACAGCTGATTTCAAATAGGGATTTTCCAAAAGGAGGGAACATCAAGTTGAGGAGGAAAAATGTAACAAGAGAACCCCCCCCCGCAAAAAAATAGTTTAGCGTTTGCAAGAATAACGTTGAAATATTCGAATTGTGGAAGTTTTCATTTGATTTGCTTAAATCACTTGTCTTAATCGCATATTTACAACGAAAAAATCGTAATTTTTTCAATGTTTGATAGTTTCTTAGGCGCTATATAAATTTACGCATAGTTATGGGAGAAAAGCAATAAAACAAAATAGTCTTAAGTTGTCTGAATTTCTTAGATGAAGCATTGTCATTATTATTCATTTTTCATTCGCCTGTCTTTCATCTTATTTCTATTGCTTGTTTACACCTAGTAGTAGTAATAAGACGTAATAGTCTTAAGTTGTCTGAATTTCTTAGATGAAGCATTATCATTATTATTCATTTATGACTCGTCTTTCTTTCGTCTTATTTCTATTGCTTGTTTACACCTAGTAGTAGTAATAAGACGTAATAGTCTTAAGTTGTCTGAATTTCTTAGATGAAGCATTGTCATTATTATTCATTTTTCATTCGCCTGTCTTTCATCTTATTTCTATTGCTTGTTTACACCTAGTAGTAGTAATAAGACGTAATAGTCTTAAGTTGTCTGAATTTCTTAGATGAAGCATTATCATTATTATTCATTTATGACTCGTCTTTCTTTCGTCTTATTTCTATTGCTTGTTTACACCTAGTAGTAGTAATAAGACGTAATAGTCTTAAGTTGTCTGAATTTCTTAG